TATTTCCATTCATGATTCATGCATCATTGACCCATGTGATGTGAACAATTTAACTATATGTATTAACTGAGAGAACAATTTGGTGCAACATGTAAAGATCAAGTTTGAAGTTGCTAAGTTGCTTTTATATATTTTTTATCAATATTTTAGTACAGTATTATATTTAATATCATCGTAAAATAACTTCACGGAGTTCACGGCCTACCTTCAGAATTCAGATATTAATTCAAAGTGTTGCCTGCGTAAAAATCGCTCTTGAGATGAACTAGGGTTTATCTTGCGAGTAAAATTTACACGTAAAATAGTAAAATACTGTCCAAACCCAGCGTACCAGATACAAAACTATAAAATACTGAATATAAAATGCTCGCTTATCGTAGCGCCATTTTTATTTTTGGATCGGTAAATAATGTCGTATAAATGGCGAGGCGGCGCGCAAATTCCTGAGTTAAGAAAACTGGGGCGAATATTTTTAGACCCAAGCATTAACACACCTGAGTGTTTGAAGTCTGAAGTCTGAAGTTTGAAGTCTGAAGTCCCTTCACGGCTTCCGTAAAAAATAGACCCAAATTGAAGATTTATAACTTTTCGGAAAATTGCTTGCAGACGAGTTTTATTCCTGATTACTTAACTTTAATAGGCATACTTTCAAATTACATGCCTTATGAACTTCAGATATATTGGTGTCACCTTTGAGCTATTTTAAGTAAAATATGAGCAGAGGCGCCGGAATATCGATAATTGAGGGGCAGATATTCATATATTCGTGTTCTGCCCAATTAATTTCTTTTGAAATCGATTGTTTTTACAGTCTGTGTACGCGAATATATGAATATCTGCCACCGCTATTATCGATTCTCCGGCGCCTCTGATTATATGAGCGATTTTCAGCCCCTCGTCGCCATCTTGTAAACATAGTGTCGTAAAACTATAAAAAAATCGTACTAAGCAAATAAAGTTGTTCAATCTCCATGTAAATGAAAGTATTAGTGTTAATCTTGCATGTAAACAGTAACTGAAGGGGATAAACGCATCACAACGTTTTTAAAAAATCAGACGAATTCTTGTAAAATTCCCCTTCATTTCCGGTCTGAAAATATTCTCGCAAGGTCAAATTTTAACATGGCTATAACTCCTATAAAACAGAAAGTTGAAACGTTCTGAAAGAAGCTCGATTAATATTGACCAAAGTCTAGTTCATATGCAAAATATGAGCTAAATCTATTTTTCCTTCCCCAAACCAGTGAGTGGATTTTACTGAGAGGCCCTCTTAACTGTTGATGACCAATTCAGTTCTGTTTTTACCAATTCACTTCAATTTTAAAAACCCAAATACGATTTATTTGATAGGTAGAACTGCTTTGCATCCTACAACAGCAAAAGTTTGAAAGGTATCAGGTTTGTTTTCATAAAAACGACACTATTTGAACGTGCCGAAGTGAACTTTGCTCTTTAACTAAAAAAAACAACTTTAAAACGTAAGTCTACGGACCAATACCTTTTTTGTATTAACGTCTAGGTATAGTTGTTTATTTTGAGTGCTTTTTGACTTCTCTAAAACGTGAATAAATCGATTTTTCCGTAGAAATCCCCCGTGATTTGCGATTTGTGATTTGGCGCCCGGGAGAAGTTCGCGCGCTGTGACTTTCAAAAAAGAACTGGGGAGAGTTAAATTTCCTCGTAATTTTGTTTTTTTAGCAAAAATACGCCGAAAAATTAGGTTTTTCGTCCGAAGATTTCAATTTCAAAGATTCAAACTTGGTTTTCTGGATAGTTCTAAGTATTCTACATCCACTAACAGCAAAATCTCGAAAGGAACCATTTTTGTATTCAAGAAAATAACAAAATATTTTCTGTGGCGAAAAAATACGACTGAATGTACACAAGCCTTTTCTACGGCTTCCAAAAATGATTTGTGCAATAGTCCAAGTATCGTAGATGTTTTTAGGTTTTTCATCAATGTTCTAGGATAGCTAGAAAGGCAGAAATCCGAGTTTTTCGATGAGGTGTATTTTCGCCGCCGTACCTCCAATGGCGGCCTTCAATTTGGCTTCAAAGATGGCGGCCGAGTTATCGTTCCAGTCTTATTAGAATTCACTGACCTAAACTTCCTAATTAACCAAATTATAAAACATATTTAGATTAAATTGATAAACTCAAACGAACATTTGATTTTTATCCACTGTAAGAAAAACTACAAATGCACAAAGATATATTGAGGCAGTTGCGGAAATCTTGGTGGGGCAGGGGGGCGGTCGCCCCCTCCCCACCTTCACGGAAAATTGACGAATTTTCGGAAATTTTGACCTAGATGAGGGCTAAAAACAGTCTTTTCGAGTGCAAATGGGGAGTATGTCGGACATTTGAGAGTTTTGTCGGAAATTTAGTAGGCTTTGCCCCCCCCCGGAAAAAGTGAATTTCCGTCACTGTATTGATGCTATTTCAATACAAAATTTTATAGATATTAACATGTTTACCTGTGGATTAATGAATTGTCGTCATATTGGTACTATATACTTATAAGTGTGTCATTGTAAAACTTCTAAAATCATATGGCAGCAAATATATATATATATATATATATATATATATATATATATATATATATATATATATATATATATATATATATGTTATATATATATATATATATATATATATATAGGATTCATATTTATATATTAAAAGATTAAAAGTTTCTTGTCACTAGCTATGTAAAAAACGTAATCACGTTTATAAAAAAGTTTTTACAAGACGTTTCGATCAGAAACCTCCGATCTTCGTCAGTTGATATTAAAAACTAAGAAGCCAATAAACAGGCCTCTATTTATACGGTTCGTTAGCTATTAATTTGGATGCATCAGTGACCCATAAACGTTTGGAATGTCAATATGGTCATTGCCAGAACTTTTGTCCACTTGGGAATACCAAGCCTCAAGGAACAATCGTTTGCGATAATTTTTCTCTCTACTAACTATTTCGGCGTTTTCAAAGTCCATATTATGGTCATATTGCTCAACGTGTTGGGCTATCTTGGAATTCTTATCATTATATTCAACAGCTCTTTTATGTTCTTTTATTCTTGTTTTCAATGCTCGGTTGGTTTGACCATAATAAGTAAAATCACAAGCGGAACATTCAATTTTATAAACGATGTCCCTTGTACGGTTGGTGTCTAGTTATCTTTTGGCTTTGGAAATTCTTGCTGTAATGTGCGAGTTGGTTGGAATGAAACACGAACTTTCTCACGTTGTAATGTTCTTGTAATTCTTTCTGTAACGCCCTTTATATATGGTAGAACAACATAACTAGATGAAACTGTTGATTTTTGCGTTGCATTCACATTTTCGTGCGAACTATTTAATTCCTTGTTTTTGTTTCGCCTCCTGTTATCACAGCTTCTTATGAATTGTAAGGGGTAACCGTTATCTCTTAGGACCTTTAGGACATGTTTTCTCTCTCTACGTTTTCCCCGGTTTGTTGAGGGTATTTTCTCTGCCCTATCGAGTAAAGTATTAACTACAGATCGCTTGTGTTGTGGAGGGTGATTTGACGTGTAATCCAGGTATTTGTCCGTATGCGTCTTTTTACGGTAAACATCAACCCTAATTTGACCATTTTGCCTAATTGTTACAGTATCCAAGAATGGTAATCTATTATTTTCTTCCGCTTCAATGGTGAATTGGATTTGCTTGTCTATTGAATTTAAATGCTGATGAAACTCCTCTACATATTTACGTTTTAGGCAAGTATGGCTATCATCAACAAACCTGAACCACCAACGGGGTGGATTGAGAGCAGTTGTTAAAGCAATTTCTTCTATGTGTTCCATAACGAGATTGGCTATTGTGGCGCTAATCGGAGATCCCATTGCGCAACCAGACGTTTGCTGATAATATTCATTCTTGTATGTAAAATAACTGTTCTTCAATACAAACTCTAAAAGTTTTAAAATGTTAGATACTGACATTTCTGTTCTGGTTGATAATTCTCGATCACTTTCAAGTTTGTCCCTAGTTATCTTTAAAGCTAAGTTGACAGGGATAGACGTAAACAAAGATACGACATCAAATGAGACCATGACTTCATCAGTTGAGATAGACATGTCCTTTATGCGTTTACTAAAGTCAGTGCTATTACGCACAGTATATCTCCCTTTAATTAGAGGTGATAAAACAATTACTAAGTGTTTTGAAAGATTGTACGTAGGAAATGAAATAGAGTTGGTAATCGGACGAAGCGGTATGTCTGGCTTATGAATCTTAGGTAAACCATAAAACGTTGCCGGTGATGCGCTTGAACAATGTAAATGGTCATAAAGTTTCTCATTAATCTGTGGTAAATTGTTATCGTTATGCGACCTTTCCGACTTAATATCTCGTAGAAGTTTGTTAAGATCTTGTTCAACTTTGCTGGTAGGGTTTCTACGTCTATCTGTAATTCTTAAGTAAGTCTTTTTATCAAGTAATAAATCAGAAATTTTCCTATCGTAATCATCAGTATTCATTACAACAATCGCTCTCCCTTTGTCAGCTGGAACAATAGTAATATCTTTGTCTTTCTTCAAATTTCTTAAAGCATGACTTTGTTGTTTAGACATGTTTGTTGTCCTTAACGCCTTAGATATACTGAGATATACTGTGCGTAATAGCACTGACTTTAGTAAACGCATAAAGGACATGTCTATCTCAACTGATGAAGTCATGGTCTCATTTGATGTCGTATCTTTGTTTACGTCTATCCCTGTCAACTTAGCTTTAAAGATAACTAGGGACAAACTTGAAAGTGATCGAGAATTATCAAAGATAACTAGGGACAAACTTGAAAGTGATCGAGAATTATCAACCAGAACAGAAATGTCAGTATCTAACATTTTAAAACTTTTAGAGTTTGTATTGAAAAACAGTTATTTTACATACAAGAATGAATATTATCAGCAAACGTCTGGTTGCGCAATGGGATCTCCGATTAGCGCCACAATAGCCAATCTCGTTATGGAACACATAGAAGAAATTGCTTTAACAACTGCTCTCAATCCACCCCGTTGGTGGTTCAGGTTTGTTGATGATAGCCATACTTGCCTAAAACGTAAATATGTAGAGGAGTTTCATCAGCATTTAAATTCAATAAGGAATTAAATAGTTCGCACGAAAATGTGAATGCAACGCAAAAATCAACAGTTTCATCTAGTTATGTTGTTCTACCATATATAAAGGGCGTTACAGAAAGAATTACAAGAACATTACAACGTGAGAAAGTTCGTGTTTCATTCCAACCAACTCGCACATTACAGCAAGAATTTCCAAAGCCAAAAGGTAAACTAGACACCAACCGTACAAGGGACATCGTTTATAAAATTGAATGTTCCGCTTGTGATTTTACTTATTATGGTCAAACCAACCGAGCATTGAAAACAAGAATAAAAGAACATAAAAGAGCTGTTGAATATAATGATAAGAATTCCAAGATAGCCCAACACGTTGAGCAATATGACCATAATATGGACTTTGAAAACGCCGAAATAGTTAGTAGAGAGAAAAATTATCGCAAACGATTGTTCCTTGAGGCTTGGTATTCCCAAGTGGACAAAAGTTCTGGCAATGACCATATTGACATTCCAGACGTTTATGGGTCACTGATGCATCCAAATTAATAGCTAACGAACCGTATAAATAGAGGCCTGTTTATTGGCTTCTTAGTTTTTAATATCAACTGACGAAGATCGGAGGTTTCTGATCGAAACGTCTTGTAAAAACTTTTTATAAACGTGATTACGTTTTTTACATAGCTACATATATATATATATATATATATATATATATATATATATATATATATATATATATATATATATATATATATATATATATATATATATATATATATATATATATATATATATATAATTTTTTAGAAGTTGCAATTATATTATTCGAATGCTATTCTACAATGCTATAAATAATACACCTTTTCGGCAACTGAATCATGAATACTTCCTTGGCATAGGGAGACTTTGCAGACCACAGCTCACTGGAGTTCTATATGTACCCCATAACCTCTATACGTACCCCATAACCTCTATATAAGAACATGGTTATCAACAGCCAAGGTAACCAATATGGTTGTCGGCTGAACAGTACAGCATCTTGCTATCAGGCAAAGTCCTAGCTCGTAATCACCTGGGCCGTAATATCGGACGTCAAAATACGCAAATGATAAAACCGTACTATAGATACATTGTTTCAAAATAATGTTTGTTAACGGCGAATTGTATAATTCATATTTCATTACATAGCTATTTTACTGAAAGGCTATTAGTTTACGAATATATTTTTTATTTAACCGTCTGGTTTTATCTCTGCCATCTTAATGTTAAGCCCTCCTCTTGCAGATGTTTACACAGCGTGTTTTCATTAATCTTAAAGCAATGTTTTTCAATTGCTATATGCTTCAATATCAAACATCATTGCAGGCCGCTTTATGCTAGCTATATTCCTTGCTACATGCAAATGTAGTGGTTTTAAATTGATATTAGCAGGTAGCTGTCAACAATGAGCTGCCGTAGTTCTTTTAAATGCCCCACATGGGCAACACCAGGTAATTAGATAATAACAGAGAACGTAAATTTCACCTGTTCGCGCTGACGACCGCAGGCAAAGTGTCTAAAATTATTTTAAATTGATTCATAAACGCCAGCCTAATGCCTTTTTCACGAGGGTTTTGAAGCAAAACAGGAAACTGATGGAATTCGAAATTTTGTATTTGACCACTTGTAGTTGCCCAAAACATATTTCTTTATCAGCTTTAATCACTTGGGACCACTAATCACCACAATCTAGCAAGTTTTCACCTTTTGACCCCAGACTCTTTTACCCAGCTCCGCTCTTCTGTATCGAATATCGTTTTGGTATTTTCTCATTATGATTTTTGCGTCCCGTTGCGACACTTAAACGTTTATAAAGCTCATCAATTTTGCACCAAACTGCAATTTTTCAAAGGCGAGCGATAGTTTTCAACCAAAAACACGCCAGATGAGTAAAATGTTGCGTCCTGCTCATATCTCTTTCAGCGTGGGCGAGCAG